TGTTCAAAGCAATAAAATATATATTTACTATAATTCTCTCTGCTTTAGGAAACATCAAAGTAGGAATACTGTCATGGCATTACTTCTTTGCAAATAATAGGTACTGTTTTTCAGGCAGTACCACCACATTTTCCTCAAATATTATCTGATAAAATGTGATGGTAACTCTAACAGAACTGTAAAATTTGTTATGTTATGGATCATATTGTATACAGGTAGTCCTCACTTAGCGACTGCCTCAGACAGCAACCATTCACAGTTACAACGGTGATGAAAAAGTAACTTTGTGACCAATGCCCACATTTACACCTTCTCAGGTCTGTAAAGCAAAGGAAAGTTGAAGTAAGATCATAAACACAATCACAGTCATGTGATTTTTCACTTGGCAACCACTTTGCTTAACAACCAAGTTGCCGGTCCCAATTGTAGTCGCTAAACGAGGACTGTCTATAACAAATGCAGGTATACATGATGATGAATATTTTTGTTGGTTGATTGTTATTTTCTTATGCACATCTGAATGCATGTACAGAGTTGCATATAGATATCTTATCCTGACATAGACCCAATAATAATAACAATAACGATGATTATTCCCACTCCAAAATTACTCTGGGTGTGTTACAAAATTAAAAGAGAAGACCCCCCCCCCCCCAGTGGAAAACAAGTAAGCTATGGGGGGAAAAAACCAAAACTCAGTAACTGAAATACTGCACAAAAACTGCCATGGACTTACAAACAGCCTAACCCCAAGTGTGGGAGCAAAGCTACATTTTTAAAAGCTTGCAGAACTCTTGCAAGGTGGGAACCATGTGAATCTCTGGCAGGAAGCAGTTCTAGAGGACAGGTGCCACAACATTGAAGGCATGCTTCCAGGTCCTTCCAGATTGCCCCCACTCTGCCAATCTTACTAGACAAGCACTAGAGACAGGCAGTTCCTCAAATAACCAGGCTTTATGCCATAAAGGGCTTTATAGGTAAGAACCGGGACCTTGAATTGCACCCAGAAGCCAACTGGCAATCAATGCATGAGACATGGGCGTATGGAGGTCTGCTCATTACTGACCATGCTGCTGCGTTTTGGATCAGCTATAGCTTTTGGATGGTCTTCCAGGGCAATCCCATGTGTTGCAGTGGTCATGAGTTGACTAGGGTGTGAATGACCATCTGAAGGCTGTCCCATTTTCCAGGAATAGTCGCAACGAGGGCAGAAGATGAACCTGTGCAAAGGCCCTAGCCACAGCTGTCACCTGCTCTTCAAGCAGGAGCTGTGAGTCCAGGAGAATCCCCAGGTAGCTCCCTAGCCTCAGATGGGAAAGTAACAGGCCATCCAAGACCAAAGGTGAATAATTCCTAGATCTCGGGGGCCACAGCCACTTGGTTTTGACAGGGTTGAAGAGCCTCCAGACAAAGTATTATCTGAGCAGTCTGGAGGTGAGATGTAAAGTTAGATATCATCTGCATATTGAATATACTGTACCAACCAATGACCCCATTCAGTGCTTTCATGTAGATGTTAAACAGGAGGGCATGGGACATCAATTACCAATGCAAGTCTCTGCCAGAACCTTGCCTAATATAAATTTGATATCATAAATTTTATTCAGATGTATTTTAATATAGAGAGATTTAGTTATATAAATATATATGATAGAGTTCCAGTTTCATGTAGCAATTAAGAGCTTGAGGCTAGAAACCAGGAGCCCATGAGTTCTAGTCCTGCCTTAGGCATGCCAGCTGGGTGACCTTGGGCCAGTCACAGGTTTTCTACCCTAGGAAGAGGGCAATAGCAAACCACTTCCAAAATCTTGCCAAGAAAATTACAGGGGCTACTCCCTTCCTTGAAAGCAAATAAATAAATTTATTTACCAGTTCAGCAGCTGGATAGTGTAGTGGTTAGAGCACCGCCCTTCATGCGGGAGACCAGGGTTCAAATCCCATCTGGTACCTATCTTACCAGTAGGGGTCCTTGGGCAAAGACACATTAGTGCTTCACCTGCCTACCTCAAATAGAGTGACACAAACTAAGAGAGTCATGCTGGCTCGGACATTGCGCAGATTAATAAGATCCGAATCAGATGTTGGGGAACCAGGACAAACTGACGATAAGTGGGCTACTGGAACAAACCATACATGGACAAGACAAGAGAAACCGGAATTGATGGAATGCTGTTGCAACAGTAGACCTAATGAGAGGGTATATATGAAATGTCTGAGGGAACTATGGATGTACAGAAGATCTACATCCACATTAACTGAGAAACAGTTAGTTACCCAATGCTTCAACATAGTGAAGAGGAAGCTGTTCTCACAACTTGAGATAGACCAACTCCACATTACATCTCTGACTCAAGAAGACCTGGAAGAACAACTGGATGTGCAGCCAACAACTGAAGCTGGAACATCACTGCTACCCAGTCCATTACAGAGCACAGCAGCTGATATGAGGTGTAAAATCATGGATAAACTACTACGGTCAATCCTCGAGACCAATTACCAAGGCTCAATGGAGAAATACCATCAGATAGTATGCTAGAAGATGCCAATAGAGCCCTCACAACAATCCCTACTAGCACCATAACTCAAACCAATGAACTGGTATATGCTACAGCTACTGTAATCCTAGAGATGCTTGGATCACACAATCAAAAAAAATAACAGTACAAACCCCCCCCCCCGGAAAATGAGGTTGGAGGCTAAGATCAAGGCAACTCAGAGAGAAGTTAGTCAGCTGGTGGAACTTCAGAAGGGTGTGAAGATTAAGGATAAGACTCGACTACTGAAAAAGTACAAGGGCCTGACTCCATCTGAAGCCCTAGAGACTGCTAAACAAAGGCTCACAACACAAGCAGCCAGCCAGACAAAGGAGCTACACAAGAGAAGCAGAGGCCAAGAAGATAACTGCCCTGTTTTCCAAAGAACCATCCAAGGTGTACTCCCAACAGCAGTGCAACATCATAACAGCAGAGCTACCAACAGCAGAAACTGAACAGTATTGGAAGAACATATGGGTGAAAGAGAAGAGAACACCTGTGCAAAGTGGCTCCAGGGCCTGAAAGAAGACCACAGCAATCTCCCAGAACAGGAACCAGTCACTATCACAGCAGCAGACATCCAACAGTGGGTCAAGAACATGACGTGCTGGACAGCATGTGGCCCAGACATGATCTACACCTACTGGCTAAAGAAACTAACAGCAGTACATCATAGCTGCCAAGGTACAGAACCATATGGGCCAGTACATGAGTACAGCTCAGAAGTGCATTGGAAGCAACACCAGAGGCTCAAAACAACAGTTGCTCATAGATAGACCAGTTACATGAAACTTAAGGTCTTGGCAGACCAATCTGAGCACAGCCTGGATTGACTACAGGAAAGCCTATGACTCAATGCCACACACATGGATCTGTGAATGCCTGGCACTATACAAAGTCAGCCGGACACTAAGGACCTTCTCAAGAACTCAATGGGACTGTGGAAGACAACATTGGAAGTGGTGTCAATTCAAGACAGCTCCAACAAGTGGCCATCAAGTGCAGTATATATCAAGATGATGAACTGTCCCCGCTGCTGTTCTGCATAGACTTGAACCTCCTCAGCCAAATAATCACAAGGACTGGATATGATATAAGTTCAAGAGTGAAACTACTGTCAGCCACCTCCTCTACATGGATGACATCAAGCTGTATGCTAAGAGTGAATGAGACATCAACTCATCGATCCACCTGATACGGAACTACATTGAGGACATTGGGATGTCATTTGGACTGGAGAAGTGTGGCCAGATGGTAGTAAAGAGAAGGAAGGTAGTTAAGACTGATGGGGTGGAACTACCAGTTGGCCACATATCAGATATAGAGACCAGCTACAAGTACCCTGGTATCCCACAGTCACATGGGAACCATGATGAGGAGGCAAGGAAGACAGCAACTTCTAAGTATAACCAAAGGACAAGACAGGTCCTGAAGAGCCAACTCAATGGGAAGAACAGGATCCACGCCATCAACATGTTCGCCCTGCCAGTCATCAGAGACCCTGCTGGTATAGTGAGCTGGCCAAAGGAGGACATTGAGGCTGCCGATATGAAGACCTGGAAGCTCCTCACAATGTACGGAGGTTTCCAGCCCAAGTCCAACACCCATAGACTGTACACCAGGCGGAAAGAGAGTGGGTGGGGTCTGGTGAATGTCAAAGCTATTGTCATAGATGAAACCCAGAGCATCCAGGAGTACATCACTAAGATGGCACCCAAAGATGAGCTGTTGAGAGAATGCCGGAGGCAGCAGCAGATGTGCAAGGAAGTTCAAGCAGAGGAAGTGCAATGGCAGGAGAAGCCCCTGAATGGGATGTATCATCGACAGTTACCTAAGGTGGCTGACATTGGGAAATCCTACCAGTGGCTGGAAAGGGCTGGACTAAAAGGTAGCACTGAGGCAATTATCATAGCAGGACAAGAACAGGCACTAAATACCAGATCCATAGAAGCAGCGGTCTACCACACCAGACAGGACCCAAGGTGCAGACTATGCAGAGAGGCCTCAGAGACAGTCCAACACATAGTGGCAGTGTGTAAGATGCAGGCAGGAACAGCATACACTGAATGGCACAACCAAGTAGTTGGCATTGTGTACAAGAAGATGCGAGATTCCACAGAAGGTCATGGAGAATAACAGAGCTAAGATCCTGTGGGACTTCCAGATTCAGATGGATAGGCAGGTAGTGGCCAATCAACCAGACATTGTAGTAGACAAGGACCAGAAGACATAAGTGGTAATAGAGGTAGCAGTTCCAAATGACAGCAACATCAGGAGGAAGGAGTATGAGAAGCTGGAGAAGTACCAAGACCTGAAGGAGGAACTAGAGAGGATGTGGAAAGTAAAGGCCAAAGTGGTCCCAGTGGTGGTAGGAATACTTAGGGCTGTGACTCCTAAGCTGGGAGAATGGCTCCAGCAGATCCCAGGAACAACATCAGAGCTCTCTGCCAGAAGAGGACAGCTAG